CCCCCCCTCCCCCTGCCTCAGTCGAACATTGTAGTTTTTCCCTCGATTTCTCGAACAACCGTATTTTTTCAAAGCAGTTTTCGTTCCATCGGAGGTTCGAAAAATCGGCATTGCACTATAGCAGTCGAAGCGACTGACTGCGCGCCAGACAAACGGTGTTTTCCATAGTAGCGTAGGAAAAATTATTTCAAAGGAACCCAAAGGAGTACGAAAAGATGTATTGAGATAGAGATACGGGTGTTAAACGTACGAATTTGCACTATGAAAATCTGACGAAAGATTGACATATTAAGACTAATACTTTCCATCGCACACATATGTCAGTAATTAGCTCATATTAACCGAGCAGGAGGTCTGTATGGGGGAATCTTGACCGAGGTCTTGAGTACAGACCGAACGCAGTGAGGTCTGTACACACGATCGAGGTCAAGATTCTCCCATACAGAGCAACTAAGGTTATAAGATGTTTATTGTGTGGCAAACAAGAAAAACTTAATTCGTTTAACGTAACTGGTTTTACTTGTAATAGCTGACATTTTGCTTACGAACTGTGATGAGCGGAACTTCAATCTGCCAAAGTTTACTCGTCTTTACGTTTTTCTCATCAGGCTTTTTGGCATTTTTTAATAAATATTTTTAGAAGAAATCGTCAACATTTTTGTGTCTTAGATTGCAAATTTTTTAACCGCAAAATGTAACCGGCCTAGATGGGAAAATCTAGACAGCGGTCAAAAATGGCTCCAGCCAATCAAATTCATGAATTCGGTAGTTCCCAGTCCTTGTGAGACACAGCCATATAATAAAAGACCAATAAAACCACAAAAGAACGTGGAATGAAAAAAGATGGCAAACCAAAACAACAGAAATAAAAACGAAAAGACTGAGCTACCGTAACGTTTTCTCGTTACAAAGTCTGCTTACTGTGCATGCCAAATTCTAGTGTAAATTGGAAGCTTCTGCATGCAGCTTACAAACTCTAGCTTAATTCTAGCCGAAAATGGAAGATAACGTTCATCAAGTCATATTTCACCTTTTTAATACTGTTAAATTTTTGAAATAAATTAATATCTTCATTACTCATGGTACTTGTTTCATCCGACCTCGCAGCTCTTAGCAACTCCAGATTTTTCAGTATGTCTTTTATCAACTAACACGTGGTAAAACGACAAGCGAAGAAACCTGATGTTGTCATGACCGGTATTAATACGCAATTCCGTTTAGCCAATCACAAGTTTTTCTTAAAAAGCGCCGTCGTCTTTAAAAAGATTTTTTACTGAAAAAAATATCATTGAAGTAGGCTATGTATGGGAGAATAATTCTCTGGGATAATGATCTCTTTAACGGACGGACTAATAATAGTAGCATCTGGGTATTAGCATGTTATTATTATTAGTTATTATTATTATTTAACTTTTTTTATACACGGGTAAAACATCAGGACTAAAATTGCATTAATTACATTTTTAAGATACTAATCTACTACCAATTAAATCTAATAACAACAAAAATGAATAACAAAAACAACTTAAGGACGGTGCCAACTTTTATTCAGTAGTGCGCACACGTTCTGCGCATTACGTAAGACATGGTAAGCGCCACGCAGGCGCTGGGGTTTATATTTGACGCAATCAAGTACACGACTAAATTGAAAGCAAAATCTTCCTACCGTTCCTATTGTGACCAAATCAAGTTTAATGAACTTGTACTTAAATCAGGAACATCAGAATAGCAGCATATTAATAACCCCTAACTGTTAACGTATTCCAGCTTAAAAACTAGTTGTTATTTGTCGAAAATTATACTGATATCCAACTGTAAACATGCACCTGCAGATGGCGTAGTGCGCGCGCACAACAAGTGCAATATACGCAAATGATTTCCTTACAGGGAAGGTGACAGGAAAAAATGTATCGAGCACCGTAAAAGTTTTCAAAAAAAGATCAATAACTTTAAATAACGCGTGGTTACCCCTACATTTTATGTTATGAAATGGAAATGGCAAGCCTGTTCAACAAGTGATTAGTTCAGTTCTGGTTGTGAGCAAAAGGTATTTAGACTGTATTTTAGCTGAACCAGAGGAAGGCTGTAAGAGACGCTAAAAACATACCAAAAATGGTTTTTATGTTATCATTTACCATGTAGTTTTAAGATCTTTATAAATGTTTTACTTTCCTGTATGTAAAGGCGAATTCTAAGGAAATCTGTGAAGAAATATCCTTTCCTTCTTTTTCAGAAAAAATGCTGATGTCATCCTTTTTGTTGAGATTCAAAGCTAATTATCTCGAACAAATGCGTGGCTACCCCAATTTTTCTTTGTGCGTTCTAATAGCCCTTGCAATGATCTACTTTTTCCACGTGTTCCTAACCTGGCGCAAAAAACTTTTTATTCAGTAGGCTTATATTTGAGTCGGTTAAATATAATGATTTTGTGTTTTTCTTTTTGCAGCTAGAGCATGGCTTCGACCTTACGGTAAGTAGAATGAGAATGAATCAGCAGAAAAGTACAAATTCCGATGGAAGAAACTGCAAAAAATAAATAAATATACTGGTAGAAATCAGAGATTATTAGAGCGCGTTCGACGCCATTAATTAGGTTTGATTTGAATGATTTCGTTTGAAGAAATTCAGTCCCCGTTTTCCTGATGAACATAACATAGCGACAAAGCCCAGTACTTCCCTGCGGATATGATTTCCTTGTTTCATGGTTAGGTCCCCTATAAATTACGATTTGTCAGGAGTTGCGTTGATATGTCGCGTTAACTTCTTTTATCCCTTCAATTTGCTCCGGATTTTGTCGGGTGGCCTTGGACGGGAAATCAGTGCTCTTCAGAAAACTTCAATTATCGAAAAAAATGTATATCTCACTTAAGAGAAAAGAAAATACAAATAGCAAATCGGAGAGATGTAGGTGGAGCTGTCTAGCTTCATTTCATACTTTCATTTCTCGACAGTTACCTACTCCGTAGAAATTTACACGCCGATCACCGACATTAAAAAGGTTTACAGTTTGAAAGTTATGATTGACGGAACGGTGGACGAGCGAACTGGAGAACACATCTTGGTCGATCCTAAGACTACGCCAACAACAGAATCTAGAGGGTATGTAATATATCAGACACTAGAGACTGTGTTTTACCACATTTCCAAACACCGACAAGAGAGTTGAAAATATGGCGCACAGGGAAGTATTTTTGACAAACTTCAGGTGTTCAGAAATGAGGTAAAACACCATAGATCTTCTTTAAATTAAAGAGGAAACGGGGGAAATAAAATCGTTAAAATCTGTGCTCATTAGGATCAGATGCCCGAACGCCGCCACGGTTGTGGTTTTCTTTGTTAAACGTTACTAAATTAGTAATGAGTTTGAGAAGTGTATTTTCTGTATTCAGTTGAGCTGACGAGCAGGGAGGGGGGGATTCCGATACAAAAGTGACGAGTGCGCAGGGGCGAATGCAGGATTTTTCCNGCGCTTACGGTCTCCGTCCCCGATTATGGCTCCTGATAGATAAATATACTGGTAGAAATCAAAGATTATTAGAGCGCGTTCGACGCCATCAATTAGGTTTGATTTGAATGATTTCGTTTGCAGAAATTCAATCCCCGTTTTCCTGATGAACATAACATAGTGACAAAGCCCAGTGCTTCCCTGCGGATATGATTTCCTTGTTTCATGGTCAGTTCCTCTTTCAATTACAATTTGTCAAGAGTTGCGTTGAGATTTTGAGTCAATTTTCAACGTTTTTATCCGTTTTTATCCAGATTTTGTCGGGTGGTCTTGGACGGGAAATCAATGCTCTTCAGAAAGCTTCAATCATCGGCAAAAATGTATATCTCACTTAAGAGAAAAGAAAATGCAAATAGCAAATTGGAGAGATGTAGGTGGAGCTGTCTAGTCTCATTTCATACTCATTGAATAATCATTTGGTTATCTCGACAGCCACCTACTCCGTAGAAATTTACACGCCGAACACCGACATTAAAGATGTGTACAGACTGAAAGTTATTATTCATGGATGGGTGTTCGAGCGAACTGGCGAACACATCTTGGTTGATCCTAAGACTACGCCAACAACAGAATCTATAGGGTATGTAATATATCAGACACTAGAGACTGTGTTTTACCACATTTCCAAACACCGACAAGAGAGTTGAAAATATGGCGCACAGGGAAGTATTTTTGACAAACTTCAGGTGTTCAGAAATGAGGTAAAACACCATAGATCTTCTTTAAATTAAAGAGGAAACGGGGAAATAAAATCGTTAAAGTCTGTGCTTATTAGGATCAGATGCCCAAACGCCGCCACGGTTGTGGTTTTCTTTGTTAAACCTTACTAAATTGGCAATGAGTTTGAGAAGTGTATTTTCTGTATTCAGCTGAGCTGACGAGCAGGGCAGGGGCGGGGATTCCTATGCAAAAATGGCGAGTGCGCAGGGGCGAATGCAGGATTTTTCCTAGGAGGTGGCTTGTACCTTAGGCAAATGTGGCAAATTGAGAATTGAAACCTACTGTAAAACTGTTACACCAGCAATACTAGCACTGAATGCCTCAAAGTAGAAATTACGATGAGGTACCTGTCTAGAGAGTTTGCCTTTATTTCTTCCATAATGTTCACAATTTTCAATTTATAATACTTTTTCTTATTTTTTGCTCCTCCAAAGAGGGGATGGCTAGGCCCGTAATCCACTCCCCCCCCCCCTGAATCTGTCCCTGGGGTGATCGTCGCACGTTTTACAGGATAACATCCTTGAATTGATGCAGCCTAGTTTCTTTAAATTTAAAATGAATAGAAAGCTCAAAACCAAATGAGTTTGTAACGAGTATTCCGAAAGTAATGATAACTCTTAAGGTTGTGATCGCGAATTTAAGCCGCGCGAAGAAAATTCGATTCCGGTTCGTTTTAAGCTTCCTTTCAAACAGTGCGAGAAAATACATGTAATAAGGGTAACCCTGAAATGGTCTTGCAACCCATCCAGTAGGGGTGGAAATACTCCTAGTCCCTTCATGCTACGAAAACAGAAGATAATTACGCGCCTGTCTCGAGGGCTGTTGAGCTAGAATGGAGACTTTATTTACCTATCTTACTTATCCAGGATAAAAACAGTAGAGGGAAACATGCTGCTATATTACTTTAACTCAATCATGTGGTATTTTTCCACCGCTTTCCGTTCAGGAGAGAACTAATCGTTCCAAGAGAAAATGTCAATTAAAATTGGCATTTTCTCTGAAATTGCAACTTTCATTGAAATTTCATTTTTGCAAAACAGTAATTTTCGAACCATTGCCGATTATTTATTCCCCTTAGAGACAAACTTGTCATCAAAGCCAGTTTCGTTGATCGTAACGTGGGTGCGGTGTCAGGGATTTGGATAGAGCCAACAGTGACGGCTAATTGGGCCATTCAAAAGGTACTGTTATATTATCCCGGTAAAATTCTTTTTTTTTTAATTCTAGCGACGTCGTTTTAAGAGGTATAGACACCGGTACCTGTAGTAGCGGCAACAGAAACATCAGGTTATCATTTTCGGGAGATGCTTTGTTCTATTTATTCCTAACGGTGATTCCACACTGTAAAAGTGATTCTGAAGAATAACAGCCACTGTATTTTGAGTTGTTTTAGCCACGTACAAAATGACTTCCAAGTTGAAGGAAACCTGAAAATAGTAGTAAACTAAAATGGAAAACAACAAAGAGATAACGATACGCAATAAAGGAACAAAGATGGTTGAAGGATGGAGAAGATTGATACGGATTACAAACGACGAACTTGAAAAATTTAGCCTAAATTTTTCTGACCTTTTCAACATGCACAAACCGTGTCGTAGGTCCTTTTAAGTATTCTGTTGTTTGTGTATCAGATGAAGGTAACAAAGGATGGGGAAACGGTAACTGCAATGTTCAGTGGTGGAAAGATACGAGCCGGGGATGTCCACTGGATATATCGTAAGTCAGCGCAAAAACCTTGCTATAGAAAATATTTATTGTTTTTGAATTGTGATGGCCACGTTTCCCTTTTAAAACTTGTTCTTCTTGCAGAAGTTTTATCTCTAGCCCAGAAGAACGTCTTAAAACTTTAATTGAAGTTTAGAACAGCTGTCTTAGGGAGAATCGTTTTATGTTGGCTTGCTCGATTCAAGCTGTTAAATGGAGCGGGTCTATATTCAGCCAATATGGGACAGTTGCCTCTCAACCAGCAACAAAATTAATTATTGACGATAGTAATTTGAAAGTGGGATTGTTGATCTCTCTTAATTCAAATCTTATTTTTCCTTGTGATCTCCACTGCGCATTGGTTTTGCAATTTTCAACTAAATAAATAATAAATGAATAAATGAACAAATAAATCACATCTACATAATAAGGGGGGTCCTGTAAAGGAATATACCCATCACTGCAAGACTGAAGGGTTAATAAAATGGGGGGAGATAAGAAAAATGTAATATGTACACACTTCAGATACTTAGATAAAAACCTAAAATCACAATTAAAGTTGAATTATTAAGATCTAAGTTCCTCGCTTTATTCAGTGTGTAAGAGTTTGGCACTGCGTATGCCGACTAATTGAGGACACTGAAATGAGCAAGCAAATATTTTAAATTAGAAAGAAACTTATTAAAAATCCCAACTACCTTATAAGATAATGTTAAATCAATAAATTAATCGGTTTCGGGCTAGCAATAGTTTCGGGAACGATGGCTATGTAATGCTTAAATTGATTAAATTTCGCAACAAGATAAACAGCTCTTAATTTTCAGTTAACTAAAATGGTTTCGCATTTCGTTTTGCAGGAGTACTGCAAAAAGCAGGAGACCAACTCCAAAGCGTGGGAAAAACGCCAGGGGAATAGGAACAAAGCTTTAAAAATTATGCGCATAAGTTGTCATGAAAGGAAAGAATTAAAAATAAAGAATAAATGGTAGTACTTGAAAGAATAAATTGTTGGACTATTGAATTTTTGCCCTTTTTGCCATAACAGTAAAAGTTGTTTATAGCAATTTACCTTTATAAAATAACTGAGACACTAAGCACGTTCTGATTGGTCAATAGAGTTGCCAAACCTATGTTCTATTGTACTGGTAAGCGCATGATTCCCTATACGGCAGAACTATACGAGAACTAGAGAACTCTGAACACTAGCGAGAACAAAATAAACAACTCCCTCGTTCACCGTCTGAGATATCAATAAAACTAATATCTTTTCACTCAACATATACATGGAAATTTGAAAGGAGAAACAGGACCAGAAGTTGGTGTCGATAGAATGCTTGATCTTTTCTTCCATGGAACGTACACCGCTTTCTCCTTAGCCTGCGAACGCAGACGTATTTCCGGCTGTCGCTAGTCTCCGCCGAAAAATAACGTCTGCGAACCCGAGCCAGGAAACTATCTCTCTGACGTAGAAATTTTAAGCCAATCACAGTTTAGCTCAATTAGCCCCAGAACTACTGCGCGAGGTATTCGCTGCGAGGAGCACTCGAGTTTCACGTTATCATGGAATCTGATTGGCCAAGGAGAAACAAAAGTCATAACGTCACAGAAATCGTTTCCTGGCTCGGGTTCGCAGACGTTATTTTCGGCGGAGACAAGCGACAGCCGGAAATACGTCTGCGTTCGCTTTATTAAGCTTACAATTTACTCCCTTTTATACTGATTTCGACATTTAATTGATCAGGTTAACTCAGTTTGACACATACACCGCTTTCTCCTTGGCCAAGAAGAAAAGAAATAAACGAAGAAATCAAAACTCTTTTGTTTATTTTTATTCAGTTCGCTTTATTAAGCTTACAATTTACTCCCTTTTATACTGATTTCGACATTTAATTGATTAGGTCAACTCAGTTAACCTTGGTTTAATTTAATAATTTTCACAGATGTATCCACGTGAAGCCTTAAATTTATGATTGCATAGGATATCATTAAGCCCTTTAAGCCCTGCACTGGGATACCAGATTTCCCCACAAATTTGCCTTGGGTCAGCATCACCAGTAGGCTGGCCTTCCTGCCAGCGACTGTCGTCTGTTGTCACAGTTACACCAGGCGATCCTGCGTCGGTCCATTTCCACGTTCCACTTTCTTTACGGAGTCCAATGTAATAGTGAGTGTAACTACCGGCCTCCTTAATTTTTTCTGCGAGGAAGCCCTTCACTTTGTTCCACTCGTCTGTCGTCTCCATGGTAACTAGGTGAGCTCCCATGTCACGGCACGCGTCACGGGCTTCGTCCCATGTACTGTCAACGTCATGGAAAGTGTAGCAGTCGTTTACATTGCTGGCGCTACAGTCCACAGCTGGAATGTTTCATCACATAGTCATTAGAACTTTAATTAGAAACAAGCGGTAACTGCAAAAACACAGCAAAAATTAAATTAAATGTATGGGAAAAGTTAAAAGCTGGATGCCCAATAATTTGAGCGTTGAGGTTCTGAAGATTTTTTTTTATCCAGGAGAAGGTCTTTTTCTTTAAATTTGAAGAGCACAGAGCGATGAATTTCTTTTTTAAACTCTTTCATGCAAATTTATCTAAATTTTCCAAGAAATTCTGACACGGCGTTACAAACAAATGAATGGAAAAATGAAAACCTTAATCTCGGCATTTCTAGCGAGGCTATTCCCTAAAATTTGACCAATAAGTTCTTTAACCTGTTATCGTTTGTTTTTAATTTATAAATATTTCAAAACTCGAATTTTTCTTGGGTTGTTAGACATTAGATTCTCTATTTTTCCCCCACATTTACCATACTTTTTTCATGTTTGACCCCCCAAACAAGGTGGCATCAAAACCCGTGAAAAGGTTTCTCAATTTCTTACTACGTACATGTATCATTACAATAGAAAGCCGGGGAATGGAGACGGTTACTAAAAATGACCCCCTCCCCCGACGAGAGAGGATAAGGGGTAATCTCCCCGGATAGTCTCATTCAAGTTATGTTAGATATTTGTACCCAATTCCTCCCCGTAAGATGTTACTACGCGTTTGCGTAGATATTCTCGTGGAGGACAAAAGTGCGTGCAAAGCCTTCTGGGCTCGTGAGTAAACTTCGCGTCGTGTAATTGGCCATTTCTAGATCCTTCTCGGATTTCTGAAGCCGGGAGTGATCTTAAACACGAAAGCGCGATATATGAGGAAGTCCTCCTTGGGAACACGTAGGCTCATTTGTCGGTCACTGTTGACGTGCGCGGGTCAAATTCAAACTAGCGGGCGATTTGAAAACACGCAAGGTAACCTGTAAGTGAATTAAACTGTCTTTGCTGTCCTTACTTGCCATGAAATTAAAATATCTTCATCTAACAAGAAATGGTACTTCGCAGATTACTATTTTATTGGATGAATCTTTAATCGAGGAGCTTACTGCTTAGAACGAAAGTTTTTCATACGAGGCGATATTGTACTCCAAACAAAAAAAATTATACAAAACTAATTAAGGAAGAAACACGTTGCTTTATTCATTCTATATGATACTTTTCTCAATTTGACTTGTTTTACAATCAACTCGTTCATGCCTTTCTTCCAACAATCAAGGACAGACTTTAATAGAAAGGAAATTTAGAGTCACCTTCAAATATCAAAATCTGAAATTAAACTTGTACACACATACAAATTACATATAAATTGTGTTGCAAATCCACAAGTAGAATTGAAGTTAGTAAAATTTTGTGTACCAGATAGCATGAAAGTATGTGGAAAACCAATAAGAGACGAACTTCGGTCAATTTTGTCGGCCATCCGAGTGACTTCTTCACACCCCCGTAACTGGTCCAGTTGGTACTTGGGTATAGTTTGGAATATGAATTTTGGAATATCGTCCTAACATGATATATGGATAGAAGCATTTGTTTACATCCTTTTCTCGTTCTCGAACAGGTGAAATACTTAACATTATTTGCTCTGTTTCAGGTGGCAGATTACATTCACGATACAACACAAGTTTTGGAAAGTCTTCAAAGGAAACCGATTTATAATTTTCAATTATTCGTCGAGCGTGCGTTGGATCCGAGACAGTAAAGGTAACACTTGAGATCGTTACAGTCATCTGATAATCAACAAGGATGAGTAAAATAATTTTT